CTCCGTTCATGCGTCTACGACGCATACACCATTTTACGTGAATGGATTACGCCACCCACGTGTTCCCGCCCTGATACAGAGTGACTCTGGGTTAAGGGGGGACTCGCTCAAGCAAAAACCGTTTTGGCTCTTGCTCATCACGTATCATCGCTACCGCCGATGTGGATAATATCGACATCGATGAAGTTGATCTTAGCAGTAGCGATGACGCTGCTGCTACGTCAGAAATGATGACGATGCTGGAATATCCAGCATATCTAATGATCATACCAGTGAGGACATCGACACCCTTGCTAAAAACGAGAAGAATCTATTAGCAATGCGCACAAGGCGCACTTAAACGACACAACAACGAGTCAGCAGAGAACTTTCTGTTGACTCAAAAATCGGTATTCCATTTCGTTCAGGACTCCATCGCTAACGCGGTGGACTGCCAGAAACGACACGCAGACAAGAATGGAAGAGCAAATGTTCTTTCATTTAAGATTAACGACCTAGTACTACTGTCTACGGTAAACCTACCTAGACATGCAGCCACTAATGTCGGCAGTAGTATACTACTGCCGAAATACATCGGTCTCTTTCGTGTATTGAACCGCAAAGGCAATGCATACAAGATTTATTTTCCTCGTAGGATGCGCACGCATCCTACGTTTTATGTCGGTCGTCTCCGCCCTTACTATCAGTACGAGGCCTCTTCCGAGATTGAAGAAAGACGGCACGCTCAAGAATCTCCAACAGATTCGTGTGATCACGGACCGAACTCTCATGTTGGTCATTTATCAATGCCTTCGCGCGACGATCTACCTCTAAATACGGAGACGTCGCACGGTCGTTAGCAAGTCATGCCGACGACTTTACTCGTGCTCCACGTCCTCCCTAAACTAGGGCAGTTATTGCTCGTAAAGATCGACGATCTCCGCCAGGCCCGGCTGCTGAGCCGGACCTCGTCTTTCCATCACCACCAGAACCGCTGGTGGATTCTCACAGTGGTCGACGCTCTCACGTGGGGCGTATTTTGAGCCAGTGCGTAAAGAACGGGAAGCGAACGAGTTACTTTGTCCGCTGGTGGGGGTATCCACCTTTGTATGACAGCTGGGAGACTCGATCCAGCAGATGGCTGATGTTGAGGGTCTGGTCCGCCTATACGACGAGACTCATCCGATAGGTACTCGGGCCCATCGGTAAACACGCGCTTTTGGCGCTTGTAGACGGATAGCAAGTTTTCAATCGCGTCACGCATCTCAGATGAGATGTGTTCCCTTTCCCAGGGCGAACTTAGGGAAACGACTTCCCTTTTAGCGCGTTGCGAGTTGTCGCCACAACTCTCACAAGAAATCACCCCATGTGAGGCAAGAAATGCCTGCCTCACGCGACAATCGATGCAACGGGTATCTTGCACCGGTTGGTGTTCGTTTTTCGAACTCGATGCGTAATGCATCAAGTTTTTGAATCCACACCTCACGTCCAAAATTCTTGACATTTTGGACGAATGCGTTTCACGCTGCCAAAAGCGATGTCTTGTCACGCTTTCGGTTACCATTGTATCGTCGATGCTTTAGGAAAGCATCGAGAAAAAGTCTTCTTCAGCACTAAAGTTCTTCGCGCTGGAACTCAAGCCATGGAGCTCGCTCGCATCGAACAATGGTATTCGATAGTGTTGGCTTGTCTCGTGAGACAAGCGATTGATGAGCTGTTCAGGCAAACGCCACGGCTTCAGCTCATCACGCTTCGGCGTGGTATCCTCGCCGGTACCACGGGCTCCAATACTACGACGGCTCGCGCCATCGTCAACGCGCTCGTGCAAAGACGCACGAGTTGATCGTGGTGATGAGTAATAGAACTCATCACCGGACTCATCATCACTGCCGAATAGACTGTGACGCAAGTCGCGAGTCCGTTTGTTCGGCAGTTCCTTCGTTAAAGGAAGAGGCACTGCAGGTTGTTGCAATGCTTCTGGAGCCCTTCCCGAGTCAGACACATCTGACTCGCCAGAGTAGATGACCCCTAACTCTGATTCACCGTGTGCACGAGGTGTGTTACCACGTGCGCCTGCAGCAACAGGTGCTGCAGGCAGAGAACTAGTAGCAGACGACGAATCGTCTACCGCAGAAGCTGACGCAGCAACAGGCTGTGTCTTCTTTGAGTCTCTCCGCATAGACATGTTAACTATGCGAGGTAAAGTCAGGTATGAACGGATCTGACCAGACGTGTGCTCCCTGTCCCAATGGTGGTTAACGGGTGGCCACCAAGTTTCGATAGTCACACGGTGACGATCAGTTAAGGGGAGGGTGATGTAACGGGGTATCCCGTTACATGATATTGTCACTAAGGCTAAAATGACAATTAAGAATATTACGTTGAAATTTTTTCAACAATATCACGAAGCTTAGTGATGTTGTTGAGATGGACGAAGGGGTCCTCTCATTGGTTGATATTGAGATGATATCAACCCACCAATCGCTGCTAGACGCGCGCAATGGGTGGTGAGTAGACGTCATCATACGTTTCGTTAGATTAATATAATCAGTCAGGACGAACAAGAGAAGCAAGAGTTGTAAAACTTAATTGTATCAAATAACAGTTTTACTTTTACTACGACGAGAGTCTTTAGATACTTGTTACCTTCCTCTGTGTAAGTGTTTACACCTAGCTGGGCACTGACCTTCACTGTTGTCAGTGAAAGGATAGCTCCGTAATGGTAGTCCAGTACGTAGTCGTCGGTGCCCGTTACAGCTACCACATCAAAACACCTGTGATAATTAGTCCTTATGTGGCAAATAAACATATTCGTCATGCATCATGGAAGCTATAAGTCCCCAGCCACTAATTATATAGGCATCCAGGATATTACGATGACATTACATCGACCTGCCATCTATTACGCAAAGCATCATTATCTAAAAGAGACGGATATGGAGCCTTGCAATTGACATTGCATGTACATCCCGTTCAGTGCAATTTGGACGATTGATAGCTCCACATCTTCTAAGTAGTGTTAGAGAGTGAACATCAAGTCACTGAAATGACCTGTATTAAAACGCGCGTCAGACGCGTTTCGCCCTCCCCCCGGCAGGAGCCTCGCCAGTGGCTATTCAAAATACAAGTGAGAACTACCCGACCTATATCTTTGTGTTGCCTAATACAACACATAGAACCCTAAAGAACATTACATGTAAGCTCTAGTGTAGGTGCGAATCTCTGGAGCCGATCCAAGTGCAACTCGCACTTCCAACAGGTAGCCTGTGCTAATCGACGCAATCTCGACGGCTCATCCAGACGTCGTCTACACGACATCACATTGCTTGACAAGGAATAGGCCCCCTGAAGCGAGGTTCGATTTCTCGCGAGTAGGTCAAGATATTGCACCTACTCTTCCTCGGCTTCTCATGTATCTTGTCGGGCAGAATCATAGCGCTGATGAATCTATAACTGTCTGAACCACGACTTATATGGTGTCCGACGAAGGCTCTATCAAACCACTCATAAGTAATATAACTAACCAAACGACCTTGCTAGCCAGTTGCGTACTTCAAAGCACTTCTTGCGCGGCTTTTGCAGGGACTTGTGAGGTTGACGGCAAATTCGCAAGCTCTTAGACGCCTTTTTTATAGACGATAATGACATGCCTTCTTCATGACGGGCTCGATGCCATCTTGTATGCTATTTTAGTGGTTCTCTGTCTATGTCAATATCCGTTCCATCGAGCTATGCATACTGTCCGATGTCAACCGTGTGTATGGCATTTTTGTCGCTGTAGAACTTCATATTGTTGTCGAAGTTATGATTCAGGCAGAATTGGAGATGATAAACACCATTCATAAAAGACTGGAATCTTCGGAGAATGTCTGTAACGAGTGGACCCAGTGCTTGAATATGACGCTTCATCCAATGTCGATTATGCACATCGTCTACATCCGACTTATTTCTACATCTTTGCACGTTTGGTGATATACTGCAGTATAGTTTCCAGCAAGGCGGTCACTGAGTAATGGACGTGCGTAACGGGTGGCGAGTAGGTTGCCAGCATGCATATGTGTGGTTTGGGAATACCATCGTTCGTTGAGAGAATGTACGTCGAGAACAATCAAAGTATCCTGATCAAGCTCTTCTCTTTCCTACAACTTAGCGTGTCCGTTTCGATGTATTCGCTTCTTCGCGATCGTGCACGTGAGGTTTCGAGGCGCCTTCTTACACAGTCACCAAGTTAGGCTACCTCAAGCTGGTTGCAGTAGAAGTGCGGGTACCCCGCTACAGGCAACCAAATCCTCTACAATATCAAGGCATATGCTCATCGGACTAACACACACGATCAACGTCGGTTGATCTTATGGATAGATGGACTCTACAGCTGTAAAGAGCAACTGTTGCTTGATAACACAGATCAATGAAACCATATCGGGTGTCTAATGTGTTGGAGGAGCGCGGCACCGATTGCGTGGACGAGAAGAACGACTCTAGAATGTAAAGCTTACATCCCCGAACTACCGTATTGGTCCGTGCTGATAATCTTCGCGTACACAACGAATACGTACAGCTCAAAAGCGATGAAACAACCGCAACCCGAAGTAAGTAGTTGATTTGTGTTAGCACGAAGCAGCCGATGCACAAGCCCTTCTCGGTTTGGTCTTCGTGTACTATAATCTCATGCTTTTAGCCTACCATTCCCACAAAAATTTACCTCAACCCGTTCATCTGCCGCACGCGTAAAAAAAGACACGTGCGTGTCGTCAATCACTGCAAGCTATTTGCAGCTATCGGACGGCACCTACGTCTCCTTTTTCCTCATCAAAGTGCACAAATACGGGTCGACAAGCAAACGAGGAGATACACAACATTCGAAGCCAATCGAAAGCAAAGACGCAAAATGGTTTTCACCTACGAAACCCGTTACCCAAAGCCATTTAGAAATGAGACGGGAAAAAAGGGGTTCCTACAAATAGAGCTCTACCTAATTTTTTTGAGCCGTCGCATTTTCCTTCGTCAAGCAGTCGCGTCGAATGAGCAGTGGCAGTAGTAACCATCACCCAAAAAGTGTGCCCAAGCAACGGCAGAAGCGCAAGTCGCTCGCCGAAGACTATGGCGGATCGGTCGGCGAGGACCTTCTCGAGTACATGGAGAGCGACGAGACAGTCGGTGGCGTGCAGCAGTCCGCGGACAGCGTCGGCGCCTCGAGCAACTTGTCGCGCCGTATCCAGAACCGCCTCCAGAAGCTCAACGACGTGGCGCAGACCGCTGCCGGGGGCGGAGACGCTACCGGATACGTTGACTTTTCGACGCTGGATCTGAAACCCGACCACGAAGCGCGGCCGGTGTGGGTCTGTCCGAACGGCCGCATGTTCCTCGAGGCTTTCTCGCCCATTTACAAACAGGCCTACGACTTCCTCGTCGCCATTGCCGAGCCCGTCTCGCGTCCAGAGTTCGTGCACGAGTACAAGCTCACGCCGTACTCGCTGTATGCCGCCGTGTCGGTTGCTATTGAGACCGAGAGCATTCTCAAGGTGCTCGAGAGGCTGTCGAAAAACCGACTGCCGCAGGGTATCGTGGCCTTTATCAAGGAATGCACGCTCAGCTACGGCAAGGCGAAGCTCGTGCTGCACCACAATGAGTTCTACGTCGAGAGTTTGTACCCTGAAGTGCTGCGCAAGCTACTGGAGCATGAGCACATTCGAGCTGCGCGTGTCAAGGAAGCAATCGAAGAACCTGCATCGAATGCCTCCTCGGCTGGGGTCGCACCCGCAGCACCAGGTGGGGCTCGAGCAGAAGATGCGCACGAGTTTATCCAGAAGGATGTGTCTGCTGAAGACCAAGCCAATTTGCAGTATCAGAAGCTGCTGAACGAAGACTACACCATGGCAGATGAACAGAACCCTGAAAAAACAATGGGTGGTGACCAGCAAAAGACGGTGCGCACGGTGTCGTTCAAGATCCGAAAGAAAATGGTCGAGCAAGTAAAGCGCGCGTGTCTGGATTTGGACTACCCACTCATGGAGGAGTACGACTTTCGAAATGATAAGACCATTCCTGATCTGGAGATGGATCTTAAGCCGTCGACGCGCATCCGTGAGTACCAGGAGAAGTCACTGAGCAAGATGTTTGGGAATGGTCGTGCACGATCAGGTATCATTGTGCTTCCATGCGGTGCAGGCAAGACACTCACAGGTGTCACGGCTGCTTCGACAATCAAAAAGTCGTGTCTGTGTCTATGTACGTCAGCTGTATCGGTAGAGCAGTGGACTGCACAGTTCAAGATGTGGACCAACATCTCGGAAAAGAAGATTGCACGCTTCACCTCAGTCGCGAAGGACTATATCGATCCTGACTCTGGAGTGATTGTGACTACGTACACGATGGTTGCTTTCGGTGGACGTCGCGCTCGCGCATCAGAGGAGGTGATGCAGCTTATCCAAGGCCGGGAGTGGGGTTGCATCCTGCTGGATGAGGTGCACGTTGTGCCCGCGAAGATGTTTCGCAAGGTCATTGGCTCCATTGCGTGTCATTGCAAACTTGGCTTGACGGCCACCCTTGTGCGCGAGGATGATTTGATCGGCGATCTGAATTTCCTCATTGGCCCGAAGTTGTACGAAGCCAACTGGATGGACTTGACGCAAAGCGGATTCCTGGCTAATGTATCCTGCGTGGAGGTGTGGTGCCCAATGGCTGGAGAGTTCTACCGCGAGTATCTGCGGGAGACAAAAAGTGCACGCAAGCGCGCACTCCTTTATGTTGCGAACCCGAACAAGTTTACTGCCGCCGAGTTCCTCATCCAGTACCACGAGGAGCGTGGTGACAAGATATTGCTTTTTTCAGACGATGTCTTTGCGCTACGCCTGTACGCGACAAAGCTCAACAAAGGGTACATCTACGGCGGCACGGGAGAGCGTGAGCGCATGCGTCTGCTACAGTCGTTCCGAAGTTCGCCTCTGGTCAACGTCATTTGCATCTCGAAGGTTGGCGACACGTCCATTGATCTGCCGGAGGCAAATGTGATCATACAAGTGTCGTCGCACTTTGGCTCGCGGCGGCAGGAGGCGCAACGCCTGGGGCGAATCTTACGTCCCAAGGCCAATGCTACAGGCGGATTCAACGCTTTTTTCTACACGCTCATTTCCACGGACACACACGAGATGTTCTATTCGAACAAGCGGCAGCAGTACCTCGTCGACCAGGGCTACACGTTCAAAGTGGTGACCGATCTGTTCGAACCAGGGTCGTTCGAGGGAGTGTTTACGCGAAAAGAGGATCAGCGGGCGCTGTTGAATGAGGTGCTTAGCGCTGATGTTGAGAGCGCTGCTAAGGACGAGAACGCTGCCATCCGCGACGATGAAGATCTGTCGCGTCTGGAGCTCTCAGGCCTCGGTGGTAAGAGGAAGAAGAAGCTAGCGTCGCTTGGAGCTCTCTCCGGGGCGGATGGCACGAAGTACATGGAGTACTCCGCCGGCCACGGTGCAAAGCAGCGCCACAATCTGTTCCGTGATCGGTACCGCTAGGCGCTCCGCGTAGTCGACAATGGTTTTGCGGTTCCATGCGCCCCCGCAACTCGCGATTGTTGATCGTTGGGAGTGACTCATGCAGGTTCAGTGCCGTTTGCAAGTAAGCGTCCAGGAAGTCTTTCTTTGGCGATGCATCAGGGTAACCTGGTCACAATCGCAACCTGGAGATCGACTCGAGAGCACGCAGGTCGGTATTGCAATGAGGACAGAATGTTTGTTGTGATAACATGCGGGACTTACGAATTGGCACCGGAGTATCTGTCATGTATCGGTGTCTTGGAAAGCAGATAGCTCCGAGCGCGTGGCGGTGGATCCTTAGACTTGTTGTCCTGTTGCAATGGTGAACAGGCTTCGGCGTCCACGCATTTTCTATGACGGCGTTGTCAAAAGCAAGACGAAGCGTTCGCCGTGGAGAGGTCATTTGAACACATGCTGCTCGCACACTGGACGAATGCTTGACCTCGATGGATCTGAAAATGCCCTGCTTGACATTGCCATTTAGCCCAGATCACGCAGGAAGGTCACGAGGCATAACATGCAGTGCCTGCACGCCCCATTGCGCGATCGGAACTCCGGATCTCGTGACACACGTCCACGACAACCCATGTCACGTGGCACGTTGTAGCACTGCAACGAACGCGTCCGCCGCTCGTTTAAACACAAGACTAGACAGCACTCTGTGCGCCAGACGCGTACACTTTGCACGATGCAATGAATCTGCCGATGCACTCGATGTTATGGCCTCGATCTCGAGTTTCGCACAAGCTCAGCACTGCTTTGGTACCCTTTTGGTCGCAGGTACAGCCGCAGGTCCTGTTACATTCCCCTCGAAACCGCAAAACTGCCATCGAGTTCACCCGACTGACTGACTGTCCCCACATTCGTTTGCATCGCGCGCACATCAGCTGCCCAGAAGAGATCGCAAGTCGAAAGCCACACACACACACACACACATCGTCGACAGTCGTTGACACAGACGTGCGGATGGCACGCGGAGCAGTTCAGCTCGCAGCTTCGCTCGCACTGTGGGCGGCAGGAGGACCCACACCACTGCACGGCCTGATCTTCGAGCTCGACGGCCACGCAGAGGAGTGTTTCCACGAGTACGTGCGCACGAAGCGCACTGCGTACTTGAGCATCGGCGTTCTGGAAGCTTCGAGTGCGTACGACGTGCGATTGCGGGCGTTCGGTCCGTTCGCGACGTACCCCGAACAGGCGCACGTGGAGAAGAACTTTTTCGACCACGTGGTGGTCACTCCGTTCGACGAGGAAAGTCAGAACGTCGAGCAGAGCGGCTTTAACTTTGACTCGGAGCATCGCGGCGGCTGGTACCGCTTCTGCCTGGGGAACCTGCACGACAGCAGTCCAAAGGTCATTGAGTGGCGCACGTCGCTCGAGCTCACGAACGCAGAAGACGTGGGCGAAGAGGACAAGTTGGACGAGCAGACGCGACGAGGTACGTTATAGTGTGTGAGGGGGGAGGGGCATCGAGTGCAGCGCTGAAAATGGATTTGGATGGAGAGTCTAATGGGATATGTGGTGTATCGGTGATGACAACAGAGCACTTGGAAGTTGCTATGACGTCGCTTCGACGGTTGCGGTCGCTGCTGGAGCTCATTCGCAACGAACAGGAGTACTACCGCGCGCGAGTGCACCGCCATGTTCAGAGTACGCTGCAAGGCAATGGGTTCAGTTGTGCTGTTGATGAGCGTACTGACGGTCAACTGACTGGTTGTTGCGGTTGGTGTGGGGCGGGTGGCAGCACTCGAAAGCAGCGAGTCGCGCATTGTCTATTACACGGTGGTGGAGCTGGTTGTACTGGGTGCTATCTACGCTGCGCAGTCCTTCCTGCTGCACAAATGGTTCCAAGATCGCGGCTACTTCTCCAAGCGCGAATGGGTGTAAACTGCATCAACGTACTGTAGCAGTGGCAGTGTAGCGTTCGCAGCTGGCGGACGTAGGGCAATCAGTCTGCACAAGCCTGTAATCATCACGAAATGCAAATGGCAGGAGAGACGTTGGAACCCAAAGCGTCATTTGCGTCGCACGCACACCACGGGAACGGTGTCCTGTGCCCTATACGTATCGGTTCCGACCTCACTCCACGATCTCCATCTCGTCAATCATCTGCTGGCATCGACTTCGGCGCTCGTCGGCACTATCGGCACTTCCAGCTGCAGACACTGTGACTCGGTACGCAGACTCGTCCGCTGCACCCTTCTCGATCGACAGGTACAGTTCACAAGCGCTGCTGGACCCTGTAGTTGACACGTACCGATACCTTCCCTTATCAGCTGTCAAGATGCCTTGAAGCGGACTGATCTTCAGGAGCTGTCGCACGCGTGTCAACGGCAGCTTATCCGACGTCGCTGCTACTTGCACGGAGCCAACGATAGCAGCGTCCTCTTGTCCATTCAGCACAGCTCGAAACTCGCCTTGCTGGAACGACAGCACTTGGAACGGAGAGCGTTTCGTGAGCAGCTGGTGCGTGCCTGGACTCGTGCATTGGAGCTCGAGGAAGCCGGCAACGGGGCCGACCACGTCCTGCATCGGTGCTTGGAACTGCACCACTTGCCCCACATGGAGCGAATCGAGCACGACCGAGAAAAAGGCCGTCTCAGTGTCCTGCAGTTGCGCTCGGACTGTGACCTGTCCCAGCATAATCTGCGACTGGTTCTCCACAGCGACAGTTAGGCCTCTGGCCACGTCGTAGCTCGAGCGCAGCAGCAGGTTCTGCAGCATAACGGCCTCCATCACGTCGTTCATCATGCGCATGACCGCTGCACTCTGTGACAAACTCTGGTCCACGCGCTGGAAGACCGACTCGAACGACTGCTGCAGACCGCCGGCGCAGCTCTCGAGCAGTTTCGCCATTGCGTCCATTGCGGCGATGGACAATATGCAATGAAATTGTGGGGTGTAAAATAGTGACGTACGGGAAAACCTCACAATGGAAAAAGTATCCACCCGGTGTGTTGTTATTGTTTCGAACGGTTTGCAGTAGTGCATCGCATGAGGTTGTGCAGTGTGCATGAAGTTCCACAAGAAGGTGAGGGGAATGCGTTCTTATTGACTGACTCGGGTGGCTCATCCGTTTTCCTGCAATAAATTACGATTGGGTTCGAACGATGAGGAGCGAAAGCTAGTGGCCGATTCGCACGCGCTGCACAGTGCTCTCTACATGGTCCCTGGATTCCAGTCGACCTTGACCTTCAATGGTGGACTTATCTGCGGCCATGACCACCACCACGGTTCCCGCCAGCGTCGCGAACGAACGGAGACGGCTCGATGCCAGGCACGCCCAGAAGGTTCATCTTCTTCAGTGTTCGCTTCTCGAGCTTGGGCACCTCGTCCAGACCGATGATGCGGCTGTACTCGGCAGCAAGCTGGACGAGCTCGACTGGCTTCAGTCGCAAACGCTTTGCGTGCGAGTTGTAAAAACCGAGCCACGCTTGGTACGACTGCTGCGCCGACTTTTCCAGAGCGTCGTACTTCCTCAGCTCTTGCGTGACTGCGAGCGCGCGCGACTGCGACGGCTTCAGCATCTCAGCAGTGTGATCGTTGCTCAACGTGAGAGGCAGGTCAGACAACTTGTTGAGCATAGGCGCCTCGAACTCCGCCAGAACGAGAACGCCTTTGCCTTTCATACCAGCACGTGCCGTACGTCCGAGACGGTGGATGTACTGATCGCGATCGGTGAGACCCACTTGGAGCACGAGCGACACGTCCGGATAGTCCACGCCACGCGCCGACACGTCGGATGAAAACATCATCACCTTGCGACCCTTACGGAATTCCGCAGCCGTCTTCGTGCGCGCTCCCTGGTTCTTCCGTGAGTGCATCTCCAAGACCCCTGGAAAGCCTGCAGTCTGGAACAGTTGCGCCATGAACTGCGCCGAACGAGCAGTGGGCAGGAATAGCATCACCTTGTACGCAGGTAGCTTCATGTGCTCGATCAAGACGCGCTCCACCATGGGGATCACATTCTCCATCGAGCACACAATGTATTCCTGCTCGGTCTGCACATTCGTGTCCGCCTCGTTCTCGTCGATTGTGTCGACAAACACGTAGTCCGGTCGCAACGCCACTTGCTTCAGCTCTTCGGTCGAGGCCGGCAGCGTCGCGCTGAACAGCAGCGTCTGGCGCTTCTTTGGCAGGTATCCAATGATCCGCATGACGTCCGGGCGGAAGCCCATGTCCAGCAATCGATCTGCTTCGTCCAGAATCAGAACGCTCGTCTGCCCCAATCGGTCCGCAAGTTTGCCCGTGTTCTGCTTCAAATGATCGACGAGTCGACCTGGTGTTGCAATCAGGAGATCGATTGGCGTGCTGCCCGTCAGCGTGCGCTGGTCCTTCTTGACCACGGTGCCCCCAACGAAACACGCGACATGAAAGGCGTGAAACTTCGTGAGCCGATTGGCCTCAGTCGCAATCTGCAGCGCCAGCTCCCGCGTGGGCGACACGGCCAGTGCTGGAATGGCACTCGGCGACTGCCGTCCGCGCTTGACCATGTTCTCAATCACCGGCAAGAGGAACGCAATCGTCTTGCCATTGCCCGTCTTGGCCTTGGCCAGCACATCTTTGCCCTCGAGAATGTGCGCAAACGTCTCGTTCTGCACGTTCGTCAGCCGCTCGTACTTGAGGTCCTCAACGATCGCGCGCTTCGTCGGCGCCGAAATGTCCAGCGACGCAAACAGAACGTCCGACAGGTAGTCCAAATTCGTGGCCTTCGCAGGCTCAACGGTCGCGTCGTCGACCTCTGCAGCTGCAAACCCACTCGCCGGTGCGCCCACGTGGGGCTTCGACACGGCCGCGGCGTCCTTCGCTTGGTACACCTGCTCCGTCTTGACGTGCTGCTTGTTATTGTTGCGACGGCCCCCGCGCCGCGGCTTCTTCTTCTGGTGCTCGACGTCGCTGTCCTTGCGCTCTCCAGCCGGTGCCTTGCGCCGCCAGTTGCCGCTCGTACTGGTACTGGAGCTGCTGGTTGTCGTCGTGCGCGCTTGGTCGGCCATGATCGGTGAGCGTGTGAGTGTGTGAGCGCGTGAGTGTGTGTGTGTGTGTGGGGACTCGACGGATTTCGGAATGCCGAGCGATTTCGTTGGCCAGAAATCCGCCCGGTTGGTGGTGGGGCTCGATCTTACTATAAGCGGTGGCCGTTCGATGCCAAAACGTGCCCCGCAAAACGAGTTTCCACGACCACCCGCCCGAGTGACTACGACTACCTGCTACTTCTGCGACAGTCGCGTGGAAACCACTCGGACAGTGTATCGCACACGAAAAACTCGAGTGTCGCGCGTGCGATTTTGCGTTTTGGGGTTTAAGGTTTGCTAATTGGGGTTACTTCACCGTTCGGTCGGTCGGTCGGTTGGTCGTTCGCTGACGTGGCCGAAATGTCGACGGTCGCCGACTCCTTCTTGGAAGACTTAGACGAGCTCAGCGGCGGCAGTAGCAGCGGCAGCGATGACGACGAGACGACGAGAGTGCCGTCGCATGCTCCGAACGACGACGTTGTGGTCGAGAGAAGCGGTGAGGCCGACGACGAGCTCCTGGCCGCGAACGTGTCCCGCTGCGAGAGCAGCAAACTCGAGCGTGTGGCCAATGGGGAGCCGACAACGACACAAGCGAAGGCAAAGGATTTGACAGCGTCGCTGCAGTTGGTCACTACGAGTCGTGGGGTCGCTGCAGTCGCGTCGCTCAAGCGCTCGCACAAGTACCTGGCACACGTGCAGCAGATCCAGCAGTACGTGGACCTGGATGACGCAGCGACGTCGAGGCCTCAGCGGCTGGAAGAAGGCAGTGCCGAGTACGATCTCGTGGTCACGTCGAACGACCTCATGGTGCAGATTGACGACGATATTGTGGCCGTGCACCGCTTTATTGCCGAGATCTACGCCGCCAAGTTCCCGGAACTCGACGCGCTCGTGCCAAATGCGCTCGATTATGCTCGTGTGGTCAAGGCGGTTGGCAATGAGATGGACTTGACGCTCGTGGCAGAGCTGCCGCAGCTGCTCCCGAGCTCAGTGGTGATTGGCATCTCTGTGACGGGATCGGGAACGAGTGGCAAGCCACTTGGTCCGGACGAACTGACGATCTGTCTGGAAGCTTGTGACGAATTGCTCTCGCTCGAGAAGGACAAGAACATGATTCTACGCTTTGTCGAGAGCCGTATGAAGTATTTGGCGCCCAATGTGTCCCAGTTGGTAGGAACGCGTATCGCCGCGCAGCTTGTTGGACTGGCTGGCGGCGTGGCAGAGCTCGCACGGATCCCGTCGTGTAACTTGCAAGTACTGGGGCAGGAAAAGAAAGTGCTGAGTGGATTCTCGTCGGCTGCAGCGCTGAGACACACGGGTGTGGTGTTTTTCACGGATCTCGTGCAAAACATGCCTCCGTATCTGCGAATGAAGGCATGCCGAGCTGTTGCCGGCAAGCTAGCGCTGATGGCGCGCGTTGATAGCCAGCCGCACCAGCATGACACGGTAGGTTTAGTGGGTGCGCGCTTTCGTACCGAGTTGGTCGAGAAGATGGAAAAGTGGCAAGAACCACAAAAGGCAAAGACGAAGAAGGCATTGCCTATTCCAGACGAAAAGCCGAGCCGGAAGCGTGGTGGAAAGCGCTACCGTAAGATGAAAGAACGACTGCAGATGACCGATGTACGGCGTGAAATGAATCGGCAGTCATTTGCGACGGCTGACGAAGAATATGGTGACAACGCCATGGGAATCACGTCCGGTCGGCTAGGCCAGGAAGGGTCCGGCAATTTGCGTATCTTGCGCAAGGAGCAGAAGCAGTCTAGCAAGAAGTTGCGTGCGGCGAGCTACGCGGCATCGTCTGTGAGCAAGCCGCCGCTGTCTGGGCTGGCATCGAGCCTTGCTTTTACACCCGTGCAAGGCATTGAGCTGATGAACCCCGAGGCTGCGAAGGCTTGCGTCGCCGAGGCAAATAAGAAGTACTTCTCTGCTGCTAGTGGTTTCGTCAGTGTTGTCAAGAAACCATGAGGCAAGTTATCTGGAGATTGAAACGGGCGAAGGCATTGGATGGCGTTGTGGATAACGCAACGACAAAAAGCAAGACTTGGGAACTGTTCTTGTGAATGAAGCGAGCGTTTCGAGGCGAGTTTCGCACGTGCGACTTGTCGAAGTATCAAGAGTCAGATTTCAATGCCACAGCGTGACGAGTGCGGCACTAGTTGCATAGACTCTTCTTACTATCGCAGTAACGCTGGATCGCGCTTCAGTATTGACATATCGTTTCATTTGCATTACAACGGTGAAGAGCGACACCCCGTTCGAAGTGTTGTTCGTTTCGTATGTTTTGTGGAGAAACGGATAGTTGCCGGCGTAATGGGTGCTACAAGGATGTCGGGCCAATGTGGTCCTGCAAGGTGGGAACTAAACTGATGCATCTCGTTCACAGCACGATGCGCACCATATACTTCGGCACATGTCGTAATGCACCCACCAGTCGTCATCCGCTTGTCCGTCACAAGTCTTTATCCCTCTGTACCACTTCCTACCTTCTACGTATATCGTCTCCATCGACACCCCCTCATTCATTCGGTCGACGCTTCCCGTGTTGTACATTTCATGTGACAGCAACGTGCGCACCACGAGATGGTCTTCGCAGTCCATCACGCTACAGAATCGGTATCCTGTCCGCGATGAACACAGGCTAGCTCAGATCATCAAGGTTAGGGGTACGGCAATAAATCCACCATAACGATGCTCACCACAATGTAATGTCCTCTGATGACGATTGGGCATCTTCACTCATGCGGATATCACTGCGCCAACACGTCAACATCACCAACACATACTTGTCCCACGGACAGTTTGCTTTTCAAAGCCCGTCCGTCAAATCGTCACAACTTGAAGCCAGGCCGGCCGTTCTACCCGACGATCAGTCCATCCACATGCAATGGTGTGAAGTCGGAAGTGAGCTTCGATCGGCGTAAATTGTGGCGGAAGGGATGGCCGATCAGGGTGGAGCCTTATCAGCTCGAGCTGCAAAGCACATGCTGACTCTTGCACGATATAGCAACGCCGGAGTCGTTGGCAAGTAGTGTCGAGAACGCCGTGCGAGTAAGCAGGACGCTTCAGCCAAGTTTGACCGAGTGTGGTGGGTAAAGTAGATGGCGGTCAGGATCCTACCGTCGATGGACTTGACCGTCTGCTGTTTGACGTCTTGATCAACGCCGACAAGCGGAGAGCAATCTCAAGCGCATGATTACCAGTGCACACGCCACAATCAGAGACCGACGACTCAATTCCAGCGGCAACTTTTTGTCGCAAGTCAAGTCAGTGGCATATCCGGTAGTACGGCGTGCACAGCTTTCCTTTCCAACAACATTGGACAGCGCTCTCGGCGCCAGATACGAACGAATAAAGTGTAAGAAATGAGATCATCGATGCTCTCGATAACATCGCACGTTTGGCTGAGTCAGCGACAGCAAATGAGCATGAGACTGCACTTGATCAGCAACATCGTTTTGTTCCAGTTCTAGTGACACGCAAGAAGCACCAAATCGACTGTCTCGATAAATCTGTCGGTCACTGCTTTCCAATGCAAATCTCTCTATTGCCGAATTCCACCATACCGTTCTCGTGCGATCTCTCGACCGACTGGCAGAGCTGCTCACGAATGGGTCCTTCCGATCCCTCGTCGTCCGCTGAGGCCTCATTTTGGGTTCCGTGCGACCCAAAACAAGGGCATTTTGGGACTCCACCACGAGCCAACCACTTCATCAGTGTCAATGTGGGCAATTCGTCGCCACCGCTCTCTGCGTGTGCAGAGCTTCCACTCGAGCGTCCTCCTCAATGCATCCAGCGGCTACTTGTCGGACGTTTCGGTCGCTTCGCTTCCCATCAGTCAGCAGTCGAAGGATGTGCTGACGCGCGACATGGGCTACGAGTTCCTGACCCACGTGCAGCGAGATACGCTGCCGGTAGCACTGGCAGGACGCGATGTGCTGGCCAAGGGCAAGACTGGGAACGGCAAGACCATTGCGTTCTTGCTGCCAACGCTGGAGCGCATGATTAAGAACCCGCAGCCGAAGCGGGGCAAGATCTCGGCGCTCGTGATCTCTCCGACGCGAGAACTGGCGCAGCAGATCGCGGTCGAAGCGGTGAAGCTCACGAAAGCCCATTCGCTCCGCACGTGCTGCTTTGTGGGCGGAAGCTCCGTGAACAAGGACGTGAAGGAGCTGACGCAAGCAGGAGGCATTGATGTGCTCGTGTCGACTCCTGGACGGCTGCAAGCGCACTTGGAAGACGATAGTGCACAGATCCGAGCGAAGCTGGATCACCTCCAGGTGCTCGTGCTGGATGAAGCTGACCGTCTTTTGGACATGGGATTCCGCCCTGATATCATGAGGATCATCAGCCGTTTGCCGACGAAACGACAGACGCTGCTGTTCAGTGCGACGTTGCCAACTGCAACCGAAGAGCTCAAGAATGTGGCGCTGCGTGATGACTTTGTGTTTGTGGACACAATTGAAGGAGACGATGAGCAGACGAATACGCAGACTGTGCAGGAATATGTTGTGTGCGACTTGCAAGACGTGATTCCGACGGTCGAGAGCATTCTGCACGAACACATGAAGCTAGAGGCATACAAGGTCATTGTCTTTTTGCCTACTGCCCGAGCAGCGCAATTCATGGCCCATCTTTTTCAGGCTGCGGGGTTTTCAAACGTGCTGGAGATGCATTCGCGCAAGAGTCAACCGGCCCGTACGAAGGCTGCCGATGCGTTTCGCAAGGGCAAGAAAGTGATCATGTTTTCGTCGGATGTGTCGGCGCGTGGCGTGGACTACCCAGACGTGTCACTCGTGCTGCAAGTTGGTCTGACGGATCGTGACCAGTACATTCACCGCCTTGGACGAACCGCTCGCGCGGGCATGGAAGGGCGTGGCATTCTAGTGCTGGCCGACTTTGAAAAGTCTGTGCTGCACGACCTAGCTGACCTGCCGCTCTCAAACCTGGGACAGCACTTCCAACTCGACCAGCAAACGTGCCGAACCACAAAGGCCCTCGTCAATGTCGACCCCCGCAGCGAGCTGGGGCAATCGGCAGAGAAGGCTTATGCAGCTTTTTTGGGGTTCTACAACTCGAATCTCAAGAAGCTCCGCATGTCGAAAACAGAGCTCGTCGAGACGGGTGCACGCTATAGCCAGCTCATTGGACTTGACGAGGTGCCAAAGCTGCAGCAGAAAACTCTGCGAGCGATGGGGTTAACGAATACTCCAGGCCTTGTTGCTGCTCCGAGAGCGACGGGGACAGGAGGGTTCAAGTCCAAAGGCGCAGGAGGAGGACCGAAAAAGTCTACTAGAGAGGGACAGGGACAGGGCCGCGACGAGAAGGGCAGCTATCGATCGCTCATCGGCCGAAAGAAGCAAAGCAGTCATGAACATAACGGACGCTCCCGGAAAGCGTACAGCGATGATGGTACCCGTGGAGAGCAGGGCAGCCGCAGCAGTCGCAGCACTTTTCCGAGTGGCAGCAAAGGGCGTAATCCTCGACACGAGCGTTCAAGCAGTCCGGTTGCTAAGCGATATTAGTGGATTCTACCAGCAAGATTAGACAGCCATTTGATCAGTAACGAGCACTGCTCGTAAAATCTGATTGCATCCTTTACCAGGTGCTTGCGACCACAACGGTCTGCTGAAACATGCGCGTTTCTTCTTCATCAAACTCGCTGTGCTAACCGATGGACTCATACTCCGAACGACGCTGGCGCGATGCAACAAACCAAGTAGCAGATGCGCCCACGGTGATCCCAATCACAAAGCCAATGGCAATCTGAGTGATTGAAATCGCGCTCGAAGGCGTTGCTGCAGGTTCTTGCAACACGACGTTGGCACTCGCGTTCTGGCGGCTTTTGAACAGCTCAAGTTGCTTCTCGAGCGCCGGGATATGTGGTGGTAATAGCGTGTCACCTGGCCACTTGGAGAAGTCACTGAGCTTGAGCCACCATTCCGGATACCCGGGCATCTCCATTTGCTCGTGTGCTTCGCCAGTAGTGATGTAGCCGTCGGTAAATTTGCCGACAAGCGTCCATGCAAAAGCCCACCACTCGTCAACGACCTTGGAAGCCAATCGATTCGATCGCTCTTGCAAGTGCGCAAGAACCTCAGGCGCCGTCAACGAATCGGCGTGAGCCGTGACGTGATGTTCCATCGCCTTTCGCTCAGCAAAGCACCAACTCTGTAGGTCAGCAATGCGAGCTCGAACGTCCTTGCTAATGGCGTCGAACCGTATCATGCTCCAGTTGTTCACAAAGCTGAAGGCCCACCACGCAGAACCAGGCGTAAACTCGCTTTCCTTCCCAAGGACGTATGCGGAAGGCACCTCACGCTGCGCACATGAAAAGGGCACGTAGACCGAAGCATGTGGAGAGCTCTGGCCGTACCAAGCCACGCCGCCGATCGCATCGGGAAGGTGAGCGCGTGCTTGCAGCACAAAACTGTACACGGTGCGGTACATGGATACCGGTCGTTCCCAGTTACCCACAACACCTTTATCGCCGCCTCCCCAGCGCATGGGCAGACCGAACGGTCCTGCAGCAAGACCCTTGGACAAGTCGTATGGCGTGCCTTGGAAGTAGTCGCGCAGCAAGTGTGTCACGGCCGACACATCGAGTGCTCGGTCCGGTTTGACTGAAAACGGGTACGTTGGAAACTCGGGGTAATGCCCGAGACGAGAATCCAGCTGCAACGATGGCGCTACGAGATCAAAGACACGCCACATCCGACGCCCCATGTACATCGCGCGCACCGGATTTGGCGTCGGCGACGCGTACACAGCAGTGAAATCAAACGTGCTTTCCTCGGGCTTCCACCATCCCATCTCTCTTGCAAACGAATGCACATTGTCGGACGCCATGAAGTGCTCGGGATCGTCGAGGTCCATCTCACGAATCACAAAGCCATTCGCCACGACGACCACGTGCGTGTCCAGCACGCGCTGCGCCGCCCACACTGCACTTGCGTTCTGCGGACCCGTGAGCACGTGGAAGACCCACACTTCTCCGTACCGGTCCGTGAGGCCGAGCGTCTCTGCTGAGCTCACGTAGCCAGGATGCGCAGGGTTGCCGCTGTCTTCACTGTAAAAGCCGTACTGGACAGCCAAGTCGCCCATGGTCTGGATCGCACATCGAGCCGAGTCGCAGCGCTCGAGCGCTACTTTCGTGAGCTCGCCAATGCCAAACACATTGTAGCCATGTGGCCCGGCGTCCTTGGGCCAGCCCGCCGTCCGTGCGCCACTCGTGCTCTCGCCAATACTGAGCTGCACTTCGTTCATGAACCCATAGTCCTGGTCAAAGTAGCCGTACGTGTGCGGGACCTGAGCGATCTGACCCAATGACGTCATGAGCTGCTCGTGCTCGTTCTTGGGCTCGTACTCGGGTCCTCTCCCAGTCGCCACCAGTCGCGGGTACCCCGCATGGAAGTTGTACACGTGCCGCACAGCCCCTTCGTCAAAGTCCTGGGCAGGTACCCGCACGAGTCGAAGGTCGGCTGCTCCGGATCCGGCGTCGTCCGTATGGGCCACGAGCGTCGAGCCGTCCACTGTTGCGTTGCGCCCTACGGCGATCATCGTGCAGGCCGGTACGAGCGGTAACAAGCCGCTCGCCAGCAGAAGCAGCGACGGCCGCAGGTTGAGCATCACTGGTGGGTGGCGATGTGGGTGCGAGTGGGCAGAAGGAGATATGAGGCTGACGTGAGAAAGGGGTTGTCGTGTGTGCAGTGGGAGAGGGGGGGGGGAAGCGGTAATCCGAAAGATCGCAACACTTGGACAGGCGCTCGGAACGACTGGTTGAAGTTGGTCGAGAGGTCCTTAGACGATCCCGTCACCCGTCGAAAAGTATACTGTCGGCGAATGACGGGCGGGCGAGCGAGAAAGGGAGCGAGCGAGAGAGGGAAAGGACTGGTCGAGGGACAAAAGTGTTTAAATAGTAGTAGGGCCATTGAAGTTAGCGAGTTGCTTGCTGCTCGTTGGGCAGTAATTTGAAACAATAGCAGCGACGACAGCGACGACGACAGTTCTTACGCCAGGAGGCGAGGACGGGTAAGGCCGGTACCGGCGTGCGACATGGCGCGTGAGAGTGGCAGGTCGCGGATGGAGGGCAGTTTGGAGCTGCTGTTCATCTTGCGAGTCGGAGAGAGCACGGGCAGGACGAATGCGGGCGCCATCGTAGGAGACATGACACGGGACTGGGACATCCACGTGACAGCAGTCGCTGGGTCGGCACGCGTATGCGGTAACAGGGCGTGGCACCTGTCGCTGGCACTCGCGGCAGTCGACTGCACACCTGCTCGGCACGTTGCGGGCACTGGTGTGCCGGCCGCGACGCGGCGCTGGCGAAACTTTTTGCTCTGGCGCTTGACCAGCGCCATTTGATTGTAATTGTCCCGCGTAAAGTACTCGCGACTGTACGTGGGAAACGGCGCACGGGCTTTGCTCCACTTGCGAAAGCCAAAGTAGTTGAGCTGGCGCTGGAAGCTCGAGAAGTTCTTGTTCTTAAAGTACTTTGGCAAGACCAACGACGTCATGGCCTGCTTGTCCAATATCTGGAACGCCAGGCCGTCCGCTGCCCAGCGAACGATCGCCGAGTCCTCACGCCGTAGCATCTGGTGCAAGTGCAAGAGGAACGGGGCCACCCAGCCACGGTTCGCCTCGTTCGGGCTCGAGGTGACGCAAGTGCTGGAGACGCTGAAGGCGGACGTTGTCGGTGATGTATGACACTCGAGTGGTGTCTCGCTGCTAAGTAGGTGCTTAACGTCCATTGGGGGATTGGTGCTTACGCGCGACAGGGCGAGTTCGAGAGTGAGCAGTCGAACCATAGAGGGCCCCTTCAGTCTTTCTTCTGTACGTAGATTCGATGGCTTCCATTGGTATGATTTATAAATTCGTCAAGACAAGGAGAATCTTGACGAGCGCAAAGTCGAGCATGTAAATGCATTTCACCCTTCGGTGCAAGCAAAGCAGGTGACGTGATTGGCCGAAACAGTTCGCACGACACGGACGACCGCTTCCACAACATGACGACAGTAATCAGCCCGCACGACAGTCCAACAAGCCATGCGACACGCACAACAGACGCAAAGTGGCGCTCCTTTCTACACCAGTGCCCGTCCGCTTTTGCTCGTGCAACGGCACTACAATTTCGGTCCGTCGTTCGTTCCGTCGGACAATGTCGCAGCGATTATTTAGCGACGCGGAGCTTCACTCGAACAAGTAAATACGCCCGAACGGGACTATCGCAAGAGATGAAAGAGGTGCAGTCGGTTGATAGATTTACGCGTTGTAGTTCCTGCTTGATGCGTTGTTCCCGTTCCCATCACACTCGACCGTCCCGCTGTAGCCTGACAGTACCTTCCACTAAGCGACAAAGAGAGAGCGCTAAGCGACAAGGAGAGAGCGCTAAGCGACAAGGAGAGATAGATAGAAAGAGAGCGGTTCGACTGTCTATTGACACGCTTTGACGATGGCAAGGTACCTGGAAATTCTTGAGCGAAGATGATAGCGCTGGAGGAGGGGACCTAGAGGAGGCTTATCATGACTGCTGTAAGCAGGACTTGGCAGGTTCGCACTCCAGCAACTCCGTGCATGCATGTAGCGTAACACCCGTGATCACTGACGCTACCTGATGAGGCTTTCTCTTCGCTATGGCTCGAACATTGTAGATGAAGGAAGCCCGAAAAACCTGTGCTTCCGTGGTCATCGATCGTAGCTGCTTGATAAACAGCTGCCTTCCTGTTGACCCGAGTCTTCATTTGACATGTCGGTGCGAGGATTTGCCGAAGCTTCGCCCGTTTGCATTCGGCCGCCTTTACATGATTTGAAACCTGCCCGCTCGGACTCTCTTCCAAAACAAGGGCACGATGTGAACATGTCTGCTGTCTCACGCGTTTCAGAAATTGCTGTGCTCGCTGGCGGGCCGCTACTTTCTGGTCCATCTCTCGACTACGTTTGTCATAGAGTGCTGCAGCGCAGTTCTATTCCTCAACAAATGTAACATGGTCCTTGCATGTCCTCGGCAAGCTGATGACTCACTACTGCAACTGCTGCTCTCGTTCCATGTCCAACACGGCATAAGGTGAGTCACCGAGTAGCGAGTCAAAAACCTGTCCGAACTTGACGATCGCTGGAGCCATTGCTATCGTCCCGACCTAACTGGGGCGTTTGCCTGAGCGCAGTGCACTCCCATTCGTCTGTTCCCGCAAGTCGAGCCGATCTACGAAAACCTGCGCGGTCGTTGTAGCGCCATGACCTTGTGAGGTATTGATAGGCCTTCTTCCTACGGCCTTTGTTACAAAGGAGCTAACGTCACGTCCAGTGCCGTCCATGGGAGCCCATAAAGCTGGAGATGCGCGTCGATGACTAGACCCCATGGCTGGAGCCCATAGCCAATTTTCTGTCGTTCTACATGAGAGTTGACGTTGGGCTATCGTCAGGACCCGTGGCGAAAACTAGTGTATGCATCGTCACGCTGACTCGACACGTGGTCAGCGTAGCGTCAACTTTCCGTCGGGTGGCTTGCAAACGGCGACCAGAGCACGACCAATGTCTTTGGTCGGGGGTGAGCAAAAGCACTAAGGTCTCCTCTAGCCTTAGTCATGGGTGTCGAAGCGCTGTCTTTGTCGACCACTGCGGTACCTCTGTGAATGGTGACACGTGATGTAGGCCTCTGACCGGCATACCACAATGCAGCACACCGTCCAACCGGCTCCATTCACATTCATTCTCTGCTGAGTTCTGGTTGTGGCGTATGAAGCGTGAGCGCAGTAGCGATTTGGCCGTGTATGTACTTCCTCCCCAGGTCACCGTTATCGCATTGGGTGAGCTGCGATATTGCAGACAATGTCAACAAGGTCGACATTGTCGCAAACGACTATGCTCACGGGAATCATCGCACAGGCTCGACAATGTCCGTCGAGATTTATGCCACCTTTTGACAACAATGTCCGTCGAGATTTATGCCATCTTTTTTGACAACAATGTCCGTCGAGATTTATGCCCTCTTTTTTGACAGCAATGTTAAGTCGCGTGAGCAACTCGGACTTTGTCGGTACCTCGTCCTGTACAGCAGGTTGAGACAAATGTCCTGAGACCTATTGCGTGAAAGCGATCGTGCCAGCAAAAATGCAGCAGAAGCGCTTGTCGAGATCGATGCGTTCATTGGCAAGCACGACTGCGGCTGGCATCTAGCACAAAGACTTTCCTGGCCCGCCGAAATGATCTCTCTTCGGCGGATCTCATGCGGTCATGCTCATGAGTGATTGGCCTGATGCCATCAAGATGTCGTGCCTGAGCAGGATCTGCTCTTGGCCAGTCGGGCGCCAACGTTTGCTTGTCCCTCCCTGCAAGATGCACTGACGAGACTACATGAGTCCATGTTGACGCATCCAGCACAATCGCTACTACGCGTAAGTGGTGCATCATTGCCACAAAAGTTTCAGCAGCTTGCAGCAGATATCGTCTGCGGTGGTTTCGATCGACTGATTAACGTATTTCTACAATGTGATGCTGACCGATAAGGCGAAGAAGGCCGAGCCATCACGGTATCTTTGCACATGATACTCACTCACACAAATACACACTGACAATGCCTCATCAGCTTCTGACAATGCCTTGACAGCTCCGTGACACCGCTTCGTATTTTTTCACGCCGTTCGCACTCCCAGCCGAAAGTATCAAAAATCGATCAAAAGTTGGCCTGAAGAACGTCGGCACCGGAGACGACGATCAAAAGCGAGCGAGCGATAAGCGAAAGCGTCTGAAGTGTTATCAAGACATGGCCAAAAAGCTGTTCGATCAATGCATCGCTTCCCTATTCTAGTTTTTCAAGCAGTAACTTGGTACCCTGCTGTGCGTCCGCAAGCTTTGTCAGATCTTTCATCGTAGGCTTGAGTGCTTTCTTCACCACGGCGGCCGCGTTAGCGGGAGCGTGTTTAGTCTCCAAGAACGCGAGGACCACGAAGGAACCACGGTTGCTTACCGCCCACTTCGACAACTGATCTTTGGCGGCCGTGAGTAGAGGCTCTGCCACACGGGTTTCCATGATCAAGCGGCGCAGAGCAAAGTGGCCGTTGGCATCGGTGTAGAGAGGCTCAGCTTCCTCTTCAAGAACGGCAGCAGCCACACTGTCGGCCAGTTCATTGCTCTCGCTGTGCTTAGCAACCTCGACAATCACGTCGCGGCCTTCCTTCGATCGCATCAGCTCAGCCGCATTTGCGATGCACATTTCCTCGAGCTTAGGCAGCAAACCTTTGAGCAGCTCCATCCGACGGGCGTCCGGGTCTTTTTTGTAATTGACCACCATGACACTTGGATCCTCCGGTGATTGCACCATGGGAGGCTCGAGCAGCACGAGGTCGTCGTGCGACAAATACTTCGCGCTTAACGGACACAAGAGCTGCAACAAAATCTTGCGTCCACCAGCGTGCATCGCAATCGAAAACAGCTCATCGTTCATCTCTGCCAGAATGGACTTTTGTACGAGAACCGAGTCGTCCACCACATCCAAGATGCGCATGATCACGAGATACCCACTAGGGTGGTTGCATGCCTCCAGCACCTTATCCTTGAGGGCCTTGATGATGCGCTTACGGTCCTTCGCCGCACCGAGCGAGATGCACCTGTTGACCACACGAGCACCGTTTCGCGTAGCAAGCAGCGCCAACGAAGCGTCGCGAACGTTAGCCACCATGTGCATGACCTCATCGTGTTCAGCGTTGCACAAGTACTCCCATAGCAAAGACTGCACAAACGCCAAGCCGAGGAGCTGCTTGTCGACCATGCGGTTCAGGATACTGCAGAGATGCTTGAGCACATCCGCCTTCTTTTCCGGATGCGCGCGAATAATGTCCGCCAGATTGTGCTTACTCTCCGAGCGAAAGTAGGCAAACTCACGACCGTAGAACTCCAACTTGAGCGCGGAGAGCTGAGACGGCTTCAGATACTCCTGCGCATACTCGAGCACATTGGCAGCGATGTTGTGTGTACCAACCTGCACCACGTGGCCTGTCAGACACTTGACAATGGCGGCACGGTCCGCCACGCTGCCGTAGCAGATCATCTTCTGCACCAGAAAGCAGCCATACTGCATCTTGGCCACCTCAATGAGCTGATCTTTCATCTCCAGCACGATCTGCGAGCGGTGTTCGGGCTTGCCGTACTGCATGAGCGACTGGATGACGCGTGACGCGTCGTGCTTAGCCGCCACATCGTAGATCTTGCCCTTGACCAGCAGGTACAGCTCGTCCACGAGCGCAGCGCGCTTGTTCTTGTCCACCTTCCGCTCCCGAATGACGTTCCAGATCTCCTTTGCGCGCGTCACCATTTCGTAGTGCGGTCGCTGCATCTTGCGCTGCTTCTTGGCCAGTTTCTGGTCCATGAAGGACTTCTTGCCGTCCTCGCCATTGGCAGCGGGGCGTTTCGTAGCGCTGTGTCCAGTTTGTCTGCTGTAGCTCTTGTTGCCTTTGGGCTCCGAGCGGGACGTCACGGGCGCTGCCATTCTGGAGCAGTCGCGTTCGTGGCGCTCGGTCGAGTGGGTGAGCAGTAGCGGCGACTACCGACCAGTCAAACTGTTCCACTGGAGGCGCTGTTCGTGGTGTACCAAACACAAATATCGACGATTCGGTTTGCATCGAGAGAAGGAGAATCGTACTTAGAAAAGACGTGGACAGGTCAGCGCGATGCAGCATATGCTGGAGGATGGGTTTGTTTGTACGTGAGAAATGGAATGCAACGAATTACTACGTAGCTAAAAATGAAAAGATTGAGATTGAGATCGAAAATTGGCAAGATGTGATGTGGATGAATGATGCGATGCAATATGATGACCTACCATTGCGATCATGAATGTGCAATAGCAATTTGATGAAGCGGCAATTATGACCTTGGATCGCGTAGCAGGTTTGCGATTCAAGTCATGACGAGGGATGGAGGATGTAGCGTAATCCAAAGCCGCATGCGAAACTGATTGAGCCATTTTGCTTCACAATCCGCGACCTCTAACGCCCCCACTAGACCTGCGAAATAGAGTTCCGGTAGAATAGAGACCGGGTTCGGGCGCGTGCATCACCCAAGTGCGGAAAAGACAAGCGATGATGGACAGTCTGGACCCGATTCGATCTGTATAGGTTGGACCCATCATTGCTTGTTATCCGAAAGAGTTGAGCAGTGATATTGTTAGACAAAAGTGTTGCTGTTGCACTTTTGCAAAGGTAGTAGAAAGTAAAAATAAAATGTATTCAGTGCTAACAATTCCGCTAGTCAACATAAAGATATGCACAAACCAATACGGAAGTGCAACTAGACCATGTCAAGCTGCACATGGTCTCCGTCTCTCCCTACCATATGTGTAAACCTGTCACATGACGTCTGGCTCTCTTTGTAGCGGAGCTACACAGCTCCATAAGTCAGAGGAAGAATTTAGGCTCTACGAGCAACTTTTGTTCGATGAACCCGCTTCAGAGAGTCAACAAGCTCAGAGAGCTTACTGTAGCGGAGCTACACAGCTCCTTGAGTCAGAGGATTACTTAACGCTCAATGAGCAACTTTGGTCCTACGAACCCGACCCAAAGAGTCAACAGCTCCGAGAGCTTAGACTTGGTTCGAAGAACCCGATTCAGAAAGTCAACAAGCTCAGAAAGCTTACGGTCCCTGTTCCAGGGGACCAAACGATTCAAATAAATCACAGCACAGAGTGCTCTAAGTGTTGCTGCCTTTACAAGGCGTATGCTAGGCTCTTAAAGATCTCAAGACACGTGTATTTGAGTGATCGAAACGGGAACCGAGCTTTATTTTTCTTCTTTTATCGAAAGAACACGAAGACGACCGTAATTAATCTAGACAATAATGTTCTAACTAATACATCCTAAAGGATTACGTAATTCAGTGGCTGACACGCATCAGCCCCCAGCAACTAAAATGGTGTTCTAATATCTTTTTTAATGGGACACTGTCCCTTGTGTAAAGCATACACGTTGTATAACCCGTTACACTCTCCGTCCCATGTGTCAACCCGTCACATAATCGTCCAATTAGGTGAGGTTGGACTTGTCTGCGACAGGTATTTCACTTGTAGTGCAGGACCTTTTGACCCGTCAGAGAACGTATAATCTAACACTACTCCTCGACGTCATCCTGAATGGTCTCTACCTTAAACATTCTGCGCAAGTCCACAACTCTCAGCGCTGGTAGAGCCTTGGTCAACCGGTCTGCAATCACATCACTAGACTTGACCAAACTTGGCTTCACGATCTTGGCTTGAGCGTAGTGGAAGATGAACTTAAAACGAATGTCAACATGCTTCGCGCTTGAAGTACTATTCGCGCTCTCCAATTGCTAGATTGCAGCTTGATTATCCATCTACATAGGCACTGACTTGACAACCTTCATGCTCAGCTAGCCGAGTAGCTACTCGAGTCCTATCAGCTCTCGTCCTACCTGCGACGCCGCGATGAACTCAGCTTCCATGGTGCTGAGCGAGACACTCAGTATGCATCTTACATGCCCATGACACCGCTGCTCCATCCATGGTCAGCACGCATCCTGACACCGACTTTCGAGCCGACTTGTCTGCGGCGAAGTCTGCATCGCTCCAGCTTTCTATCATAATTAAATCGCATGAAGTGCTTGTGGTCTTAGTGCAGCTTTAAATCATTTGTGCTCTTCAAGGATCTCGCAACTCGCTTGGCCATCTTCCAATATTTTCTGTCGACTGGTGTGTCTGTCTAGTTGCACGGTTCACAGCAAAACTGATGTCCTGCCGAATTAAATGTGCTAACCAAAGAAGACTCCTAACTAGAGATTAAAAGCCTTTATGCTTTTGTGTCCGGAAGTACCAGATAGAGTCAAAACACCCAATGTTTGAGGGTCCACGTCATTGCAGTTTTCATCAATAGGAGCCCGCAAAGCGTTTGCTGACTCAAATTCATGATCCATTAGGAGCGCGTCGGTCGTCGGCTCTTGGTCCAGCACGTATCTATAATTGATGTCCAGCAAAATACGCAGCCCCAGAATCTCGTTTACAACGCCTGATTCCTTTTCTTTGAGGGACGCCATGTTCACGAAAAACTGATCGACAACTTCAGATGAAAAGCCGGTAAATAACAGGTCATCGACGCATACCCCCACAATCGTGATGTTGTCGTCGACCTAGTCCACGTGTAGGCACATGTCGGTCGTACCTTGCGTGGATTTTATTTTACCAATTTCGAATGCAACAGCTTGCTCCATGATCGTTCAGCTTAATTCAACCCGTAAAGGGACTTCTATAGCAACAGAGCAAGGTGTTTTGTCTCTCGACTCCGTGTTCGTCCATAATGTCTTGACGCACTTGCTTTCCACTCGAAACATTAATATAGATGTATAAGCTGTTCTCCTTGTCCGCCTTTGCGTATGCGTTTGATAAAATCCATGATGTGCCGGAACATTCCGCCGACGCGAGAGTACCAGGATCACCTTGACTGTGCCAAGCTACATGCTAGCTGCGAAATTCAATGTGTAATCAGCTCCAAAAAGTTGTTGATTGACGCACGCGACGATTCTTGCCTCGTACTGCTTCACGTTTACGTTCGCATCGTTTTTGTATTACACACCCACTTGTTGCTTAGTACATGCGAGTCCACTGGAGGAACTTCCATCGCCTAGAAACCATTATCTTTCAATGCCGTCAGTTCATCAGGGATTACCACAAGCCACTTGTCCTTTAAGTGGCTCCTCGCGGCTTTACCATAGTTTCTGGGTCGGGTTCGACGACAATGATAATAATCTCTTAAGTCTTCACACCATGTTTACACATCTTGACTTAACTGCCTTCTTGCTGGTCGGTCGTGCCACATGTCGATCACGTGTCCATACGGACGATAGACGCGACGCAGGAAGCTCATCATGTTCAACTCGAAGCTTCTCCTGACCTTCATTTCCATGAATATATTCTGATCGCTTGCTGTCTGGAGTGTCGATGAGAGCCTCGACGTTTTCACGTGCTGTGTTACTACGACGACACGATTTATTTCCAGGTGAATGCGGTACGCTTTCATTTCATCGTCCTTTCTGATGATGATGGCCTCTTTTCCACGCATACCCAGCGACTTGTTTTCCGTATGCAGGTAAAACGTGCATGTCGAACCAAAGACCACGATGTCGCGGAGGTTGAGTTTCTTCTTTGTTAGTAGTCTAATCGGTAAGACTACACCGTCGTTTGCTTTAGTGGATCTTCGATTGAGTAGATACACTGCATATTCCCCAGCGTCACCCCAGAACTTCAAGGGTAGCCCACTTGCAAACACCATGCTTCTCACCATGGTCATGATGTTTCGATGCATCTTTTTAGCTTTGCCATTGTTTTCCTGGTTATCGCGCTCACTGATTTGTCGGGAGACATCAGTCTCCTTACATAACACGTCCAAAGGCTTGTACTAGTCACTACGTCCGTACGAAGGACGTGGACACGGCAATCAAAACGTCTCACAAAAGACGACAAGAAGTCCTTCGAATTTATATCATCAACTACCTTTGTTTTTGCCAGGAAACCCCGAAAATAGTTCGACCGGAGAATAACAAAGTCGATCAGGTACCATTTGCCAAGTTATTCATGAGGTGCCATGGGACCTTTGAGGTCATAGCAAATGACTCCTCCTATCACGTCAATAGGCGAATTTATCCCATTGTCCTTGCGTTACCGCACATTCTTCAACTGCTTGCCTTGTGCACAGGACAAGCATTTAACGCGCTTAGTATCAGTGAGTTTGATACCAGAGGCAGGGTCGCGGGACATCTGGATGATCGTATCAAAGCGCAGATGAACAAAACGCCAACGATGATGTAGCAAGCTTTCAGGTTGAACGTGTATCTTAGCTTTAGTTCCATCGCCTTTCACAATCGCCATGATTGCCACCCTCGGCGAGCCAAAATCTCGACAGCTGTCTATCAAAAAAAATTAAAAACCTCCACAATCACACATCGTTTAGGCGTACAAATGCCTCATGATGGATACACCACCAGGATCGAAGAGCATCATACGCCTTCCTACACGATAATTAAGAACGCATTCCTTCTTTTCCAATTTCTGAAAGGAAACGAAATAACGCCCCATATTGGAGGCGAATTGAATATCGAGAACCCGGATGGGACTATTGACCCCAAGCGCTTTGACCCGAATCATCGTACTGCCTTGATTCTTGATCTTGAGTACCCCTCATTGGATGCTGCGGTGAATCAATGATGGTTGCAATCAACCACATCTTTCATCAGGATCAGGACATTGACCAAATGAATCTCTGATCCGCTTTCCATTACCCACTGGGTAGACGAATGAGTTTTGTCTTCGTCCGTGTTTCAAACTACAAGGAAAAAAATTGCATCTTGCTTCTTGCGAACCTTCTTCGGGCATGATACATTACAAATGTCTGGCGTTGCCACAGAGGTAACACATTCTAGGTCCTTAAACTTGACGTTGCTTCCTATCGCTGATGATCTTCCTTGTTTCCTTCATTGGCTTGACGA